ACTTTATGCATTTATTTCCAATAATAAAGAGTCTCATCATTTCCATGTTAGGACTGAATAAAAAAGACTGCAGAGATCACATACCTTTCAGAGATCCTAGGAAGTATCTTCAACAGAGGAACAAGGCAGAGGGATTTATTTACTTTGATAACAGAACCACACTAAGACCAGGATGATAGATAATAGGGCAATAGTATTTATGTATATAGTAAAATTAAGATTATAGAAAGAGTTGGGGTGGGAGAAAAAGAAGGTGACAAGACTAACACAACAGGATTAATACTTGCTGCAATTATATTGAGGGATTAAATCAGGTGAGTTTGGAATTTTAAGTCTGTTGCCTTTTCTTATGGAGAGCAGGGAGCTAGGGAGTAGAACAGATGAGTGAGAAGGCATTTTATATAATTTACAAAAATGCCCATTTATTTTTAGTATTGAGAAAAGAGATATTCCTTAAATACAGTTTTAACTAAAATTAATTATTCCAAATTATCTCTCTGCTCACATGAGTAATACTCCCATATCATAGTAAGAAGAGCAATACTCTTCTTCATCTGAAGTGTCCTATAGTGGAGGCAATAGGCTGTCAAATGAGTTGGAGAACCAGCTGTGGCCAAAAAGGTTTTGAATGGGCAAAATAAAAACCCTGGAACATGGCTTTCATGAAAGACTAAGAATTAGCTCTAATAAAAAAAAATTATACTGATAAATCATAAATAAAAAAAAGATTATACTGAATTTTAGTATACAGTTTAATCTACTGCCAGGAAGTACAACAAAATAATAATAGTGGCTGGGCAGTGAGAAAATGGGCAATTTTTAGATGTTCTTTTTTATTTTCTATAGTTTCCAAAAGCAAATATTTCAATCAGAAATTAAAATAGAAAAAAATCTTTTAAAGTTTACCCAAATGGCAAAGATTTCTTTCAATATATCCTTCCAGAATTGATTATAACATGTGGTTCTCAAAATAATTACTGGCTTGTTCATAATTTTTCCTTTTTCTAAATAATCCCAAAACAAGTTCTGAAGGGATAAGTCTTTCATATTGAACATTTTTTCCTTTATTAACATCTAAGAAGAAACTGTGTAAGAAGATGGTCTAGTATTTTTTTTTTGCTTGTCCAATTTTTCCAACACCATTTATTGAATAGACTATCTTTACCCCATTGTATGTTCTTGTCTTCTTTGTCAAATATTAATTGACTATATAGGCATGGGTCTATTTCTGGGCTCTCTATTCTGTTTCATTGATCTATATGTCTGTTTTTATACCAGTACCATGCTGTTTCAATTACTATGGCCTTATAGTATAGTTTGATTATCAGGTAGTGTGATACTTCCAACGTTGTTCTTCTTTCTCAATATTGCTGAGGCTATTTGGGATTTTTGTGGTTCCATATACATTTGTTTTTTTTCAAGACAGAATGGATGGACCTGACGGGTATTAAGCTTAGTGAAATAAGTCAGTTAGAGAAAGACAAATACCATATGATTTCACTTATATGTGAAATCTAAAGAACAAAATAAATGAACAAACAAAATTTGATGCAGAGAGTAGGCTGTTGGTTGCCAGAGGGGAAGAGTGTTGGGAGACTGGGAGAAAGAGGTAAAGGTAGATTAAGAAGTATAAATTGGTAGTTACAAAACAGTTACAGGGATGTAAAGTAAAGCATAAGGAATATAGTCAATAACATTGTGATAACTATGTATGGTGCCAGTTTGGTACTGAAAATATCGAGGGATACACTATGTAAAGAATATGATTGTCTAACCACTAAGCTGTAAACCTGAAATCAATACAAAATAATATTGAAGTAAACTGTAATTTAAAAAAAATTGTGAGACAATGAGCACCTACCCACATCTCTCCACGAGGGTATGAATGCATCAAAATGATTGACTTAATCAGTATGAAGGGAGAAATAACTCTTCAAAAATATGAAGAATATGATATCTAACTTATACTGATAAATCATAAATAAAAAAGGTTTCATTTTCTTTTACATTTCAAATTTACTCTCTCCTGAATGCAGTTTTAGGTTTATAAGGTCACAGCTCTTCCTATTATTTAAATCATCATCACTGACTCTTGCCTTCTTTACATTCTAATCTATCTTATTTTTAAAAAGTTGTTCCTATTTCTTATTTCCTTAGTCATTTTTTACTGTCTTGATTCTTTCAACCCACATACCTTAAAGCAAGTGATCCTCCAACTGGTTTGGAGTTTTATGCCACATGCTTCTGAAGGATACTGGCTAATGCTTAGTGATCCAGAGCAAGTTAGCAACCTCTTTACACCTAGAGGGTTAGCAATGCTCACAGGTGCCACTGGTTATTACTGGAAGGCCTAAGGCAAAGGCAGAGGAGAAGAAAAAAAGGGAGAATAACGGGAGTGGGGAGGAAAGAATGGCAGTAAAGGAAGACAGGGTGGAGAGAAGAGGGGACACGAAGTAGAGTGGTAAAGAACCACAACAATAGCTTCAAGGAAATTCTTTACCAAGACAATGACTGGGAGGTGGCATTATAACACAGAAAAGCCTAAGACCATGTCTTTTTGTTTACTGATGACTTTTGCTACTTTAAGTATGATATTGATATATATACATAGATTCACCAACCATTCCCAATTTGAGATTTAACTATATCCACAATGTTATGTTATGTTATGTTTTAAGTCTCTGTTAAATGGTCTATATGTTAGAGAACTCTCAATACTTCACAGGAAAGAAATAATATGAATAAGTTGCATGATATATAATCTGTTGAAACTTTTATACTGTGAGATGTCATTTTAGATGTTTTTTCTCTGTGTAAAATAACTAAAATACCATCACTTCAAAACACAAAGAAAAATAAGATACTGAATGGTAACTTTACATAAAAATTTCTTTGATATATTCTACAGCAGAAAGGCTCTTTTTATGGCTCATGTGGGCTAACTGCTCTTTCTGGCAACTAGAAAAGCTAAGAGCAATAGTTTCTTTTTATTAAGCTGCTAAATCTCATGCAAAAATCATAGAACAACATGCTGTTTGAGAATAATTCTGCCTCAAATAATTTATTTTCTCACTTTCTCCTACTTTATATTACAAAGCATGTAAAAAATAGACTTTCTTGTCCCTTTGGTATTTCATTTGTTGTAGCTGTTTGTTCTATTCTGGAAATAAAGAATTATTTGTGATTTTATAGTAATACTGTATGGCTATTAATTATAAGTTCAAAACAAAATTTATATCTTAGATTGGGAATAAGAAACAAAAAGAGCCAATGAGGCTATCAGAAGATTAAAACAATTTTATTTCTGGACAATATGCATTATATAATAAACTCTGTAGAAGGAATTAATTGGGAAAAATTTGGTAGAGATTTATTATTTATGTTTTCAGAAATACTCTAATTTAGTGAGATCAAGCAGAATGAGGTGCATCCAAGATAGTATTCCTGAGAAAGTATTAACTAGTAGGAATTAATCCCCTCACCATTTTATTTACACAGAATACGAGATTAACAATTTAGGTAAATGTTATACTTTTTTCAGATATTGTATAAGTAAATGTGTTTATCATAATAACAGTAGTGATAATAATAGGTACTATTATTAAAAACAATTATTGAATGCTCTTTTTGGTGCCAGGAACTTTACTAAGGATTTTTATAGTTTCATTTAATCCTCACAACAACCTGTTGGGGTAAGAACTGTTATAATTATCACCATTTTACAGATGAGAAACTGAGGCTCAAAAAGTTTAGGTAATTTGCTAAAAATTATATCAATAGCCGAAACCGGTTTGGCTCAGTGGATAGAGCGTCGGCCTGCAGGCTGAAAGGTACCAGGTTCGATTCCGGTCAAGGGCATGTGCCTTGGTTGCGGGCACATTCCCAGTGGAGATGTGCAGGAGGCAGCTGATCGATGTTTCTCTCTCATCGATGTTTCTAACTCTCTATCTCTCTCCCTTCCTCTCTGTAAAAACTCAATAAAATATATTTTTAAAAAAATAAATAAAAATAAAAGTTATATCAATGGCACTGGTACTAGAACCCAGATCACTCTTTGCTCAAAGCCCATATCCTTAACCACTTACTATACTGCCTCCAACATAAAAAGATACTTCTAAGAGATGGTGATAGAACATGGAGACTAACTAATATATTTCTTTACAAAAAATAGAAAATTATTTTAGTAGTTAGATAGAGTAAAAAGAAAATAATGACAAAAATCAGTAAGAGACTCCATAAATGATCATTAAAAAAGGAATTGGCCTTCTTAACAGTTTTGATAAGTTGGGAAATGTTTTTAGACATTTCTTCAATGACATAAGCCTTGAGTTAATTACCAATAATAGTTTCTAAGCAATTCAGTTGCATTTTCATTTAGGGTTCTTAGATTGGACTTTAGACAGGCAAATACTATTTCATATTTGCTTTTAAGTTTTATGTAATCTCAGGTAACTCCAAAGGTGTGAGCTGCTGGTACCATCTGGAGCTTAAGATATTTGAAATATGGCATCTTCCTGGGAATTAGAGTTTTCCCTCATGCTTGCTTTTTATGAAGCCTTTATTAATGTTTGAGTTTAAAGCAAGAGGAAAGATCACCCCACTTTATGCCTATGTTGGGAATCTGCTCTTCTTTCTTGTACCATATAGATGTTTTCAACTAGAAAACATGCAAAAAACGTCCAGACAAAGTAAGACTGTCTGCTATCTGGTATGTGTAAGGCTAAAAGAATAAACTATAGTATAGTGTTTTTTTATATCAATCTCTACATATAATTGTAAATAATAATTTTCAAGTAACTATAGTAATTTCACTAAAAAGCTTTAAACAAGATTGTGTCAGAAAATAGATGTAGATTACTTTTGTTATCTGTGAATAAAATTATTTTGACAACCAAGGGGGAAACAGATTTAACAGTTGTTGGGTGCTCAGGCTGAGCCAAAAATCTGAAAAAACACACAGTGTGAGTTATGATGATACTCAAGAAAGCCAAAATATTTACCTCGAACAGCATAGCCATCTTTTACTGATGCTGGGAAGGGGGGTAGGTTATCTTTTGCATATACATCTTGAGCAAGGACTCGACCCATTCCATCTGAAAGAAGAGAAAAGAAGCAAAATATGGTTGTTGAGATTAATTTTAAACAGGCAGTCATAGACAAGATGAGCATATGTGCTTGTCTGACAAGGCTTGTATATGGGCTCAGTCAGACCTGATTTCTAACCCACAGAATAGGAGACAGAAGGAAGAGATGAATCCTAGCATCTGAAATGAAAGATTAGATTCAGTCCATTAATAATGCTTGCAGAGATTATTTGAATATGAGTAGCTATACAAAATCATCAAAGATGTGTTTAATTTGACATGTCATTAATCCTTTGACAACCCAAAAATGACTTTAAAAAGCCAATTATTAAACATTTTCATATCCATTGACCCAGTAATTTTACCTCTAGAAGTTTATGTTAAGAAAATGAATAAATATTTTTTCTATGTCCAAGACTTTTTCCTCTTTTTTGCTCAATCCCTCCACCTTCTTCCAGTCCCCCTCCTATAATAGGCTGTCAGCCTGCTGGTCTGTCTCTATTTTGCTAGTTAGTTCATTTTGTTTACTAAATTCCATATATGAGTAAAACCATATGGTACTTGTTGTTCTCTGCCTGGCTTATTTCACAAATCTCTATGCACATGTTATTTCAGAGTTGCTTACATTAGTGAGAAATGGGAAGAAATCAAAAGACCAATAACAGAAATTTAAATATACAAAGATGTAGCCTTATGATAAAACATTATGTAGGCTAAACTAATATTTATGAAGAAGATTCACTGACACAGGAAAACTCGTATAGTTAAAAACATGCAGAATTGCACATGTAGATCTATGCATAAGTATCAATAGAAAAAGATAGGAAAGGCATACATGAAAAATAAAGCATCTGTTATTTCAGTGTGCTAGAATTATATATGATTTTTATTCCTTTTGCTATATACTTTTCTGAAAGTGACCAAGTTTTCTACAATAAACACGAAATTTTTATAACGTTTTTTTCCTTATGAAGAGAAAAGTAAAGACAAGAGCTTCCTTACCATTCCATTTGAATTTTAGCCTTGATTTTGCCTTTATTAACCTAAAAAAAGTAGTGACTATAAGAAAAGGGCTAAGTAGAAAAAGCCAGTCACAAAAGATCACACATGATACCTTTATATAAAATGTCCAGAATCAGTTAATCTATAGAGATTGAAAGTAGACCATTGGTTACTTAAGGCTAAGTGGGGGTATGAGGGGATAGGAGGAGGATGACAGATAAAGGGGAGAGGGATTGTTTGTGAGGTGATGAAAATGTTCCAAAGTTGATTATGGTGATTATTGTACATACCTGTGAATATACTAAAACATTGTATTGTATACTTTAAGTGGGTGAATTGTGGTATATGAATTGTATCTTCATAAACTGTTATTTTTTTAAAGGGCAAGGATAAGAGATTTTAAAAAAAGAATATTCCTCTCATTTCAACAAATAACTATATTTAGGCAAGTCAAGAAAAATTACATTTGTAGCACAGATATACCATCTGGTCTTTACAGACCTCCTTGAAATATCATGGGGAAAAAAATAAAACACCTCATTTTGAAAAAAAAGAACTGCTTCATACTTAGGCTATTAAAATTTATTAATATATCATATAATTGGCAAGCTTTTTATTTTGGACTTATACTAAATATAGGGTTGCTGTCTTTAAGGTAAATTAGATACCTACTGGGTTAATTCTGCTTTTAGAGTTGGTATTAAGTTAACCTATCAGCAGAGTTTTAATCTCTTCAAAGAGAAAAACAAAAAGTTTTGGTCTAAAAGCCTAAGGCAAGGGACAGGATTTATAGAGAACTATGTAATTGATTGGAAAATGGTAAAAACTCCCAGTTGCAGCAGATGCAAGAGTTTTGAAGGAATAAACGTCAGATAGACAAGCACCTACTGTATATCCGTATCTCCCAGTAGGGTTCAGGACTAAACAATGGGTAGCTCTTCCAAGAAGTCAATATTAGAATTGTCTGGTCAATGTCTGACCAGATGATCTGTTTGGGAACTTAAAGAGTATGTAGTAGTGCTGAAAATTACTTCATCACATGGGACAGTCTCTCTTGCATACATATAGGTACATAGATGTTAAAGCATCCCTTTTCTTTGCCCATAGGTGGAGCCCAAGGATTGTGTTGAATAAACTTTGGGCATGTGTTTTGAAAAAGGGAACCTCAGCCTTCTTCAAACTTGAATGGGAACCAGGCAGCAGTAACTTCTCAACTAGATATTATGACTATTTTAGGTTTCACATTTAGTAGAGAAACAACAGTGAGCAGTTGAAGCTGTGGGAGCCAAAAGTTTTACTAAAAGATATAATTTCAGGAAAACATAAGCAAAATTCCTTTTTCTCAGGTGCTCTATTCCAATAGAGCCCTACTTAAAATAAGCAAAATATGATTTCCCCAATATGTAATTAATACAACTAATATGTTCTCTTAGGAAGAGTTGGTGGTGGGAATTTGTAGCTCTTCACAGTCAGAAGTGAGCCTTTCAGTTGTAGAAAGTTAGTCTGTGTGCCAAGAAGCTATGGCCCTACTTTCAGAGTCTGAGGAGAAAATGTTCATTGTGTTCTACTTTCCCCCTCACACTTATTCTCTAAGTTCTGTATAATAAAGGATGTCTTCAGTTTGTTGAAGATGAAAATAAATATGCATATTTCTAGATTCTGTGGGGGTCAGAAATCTTAAAGGCAGGGCTATGTATTACTGGGGATCCTGATCCGTATATACAATTAAGTGTTCTGAAGAAGGTGATAAGAAGGAAGGAGTGGAAAAGACGGGCTGATGATTTATACTGTTTTGTGTTGTATGCTTACTTGTGCTGCAAGAAGACAGTGGCAGAGTGCTTGGTTAAAAGGTGGTTGCCTTTTATGTTGTCAGCAGGAAACTCATGAGTCAGCTTCCCATAGGTAACAGTCATTATGCCTACTCTCTAGAGTGTTAGCTTTTTTATAATGGGATGACTGCCCCCAAAAATATCTTCAGAAAGAGTCTTTAGAAATTCAAATGGCTGACGATGGACACATATACAAGGAAAATCAAGATAGAGAGCTATTTATAAAATTGAGTATGCTTTGTAACCATTAAATACAAATGTATTCTCTAAGAGGTAAAAGCAAATATTTGTTGGTTGGGCATTTATTCTGACTCAGATAATAGTCTCTTCTTGCTATCTAAATTAGGATGTCAGGAGAACTGAGTGACTTTTGGATGTAAGAGGGAAAAGCATGTTAATTTCTCAAGGTCACTTATCAGAATGATTCCATAGTTGTAAAGTTCCCTGTGTAGTTATTTCTAAGAAGGCTTTGGAGGAAGTCAAGGGAAAATTGAGTTCAGTGCTCCAGGAAATTGATTCCTTGTCCTCACTTTGGCTAACCAGGATACTATCAGTTTATATTTCAGGAATGCAGGAAGAGTGTGGTAGATAACATAAGTTTGAAAAGAAAGATACCATTCAAGATTTCCTAATATAAAACATGGATATAACTCAGTTTTGTATACTATATATAAAACATTTAAAAACCACCATCACATCCAATCTATGTGAGAGGCTACTAAAGGATCTTTTTGACTTAACAGCTATCAGTTATGCTTACAAAAATAGTTGAGAAGGCAGACTTGATACATATACTTACTCTGGCCAAATGACCATTGGTAGGAACAATATTAGTTAAGTCCAAAGATTAAGAGGAAGGTGAAACAGGTTCAGAATTGGGTCATTACAACATTAACAAAAAAAAGTTTTATTGTGAAATATAATATACTTATAGAAAGCTTCATGATTATTTAAGAGACACTAAACATTTAATATGGTGAGCCTATCCCAATATAATTTATTCCCACATTTTGACTGTGAATTTGAAAGACTAGACAACATTGGTACATTATAAATCTAACTTATGTATTATTATAGGCTTCACAATTTTGTAAACTGAGAAAGATTAAATGATTTAGGGGTGAATATCTTTTGAGTAAAAACAAGTACATTAATTAATCTCTAGTTACTCCAGAAGTCATGTTTATGGAATAGTACAAAAAAAATGCTTGTTCAAAGAGGTATTGCATTGTGCATTTGTATTTTTCCATCTAGGAATGCTCATTACCTGCCAATGTAATGAGTGAGGGCAGGTATTACAGTTTTACATCATAAAATAAAAATAAGCTTTGTGCAAAGTTACAGAATTTGGATAAATACAAATGTTATGATTATTAGAAATGATTAAGATGATTTAGAAATACAAAAAGATGCAATGGAATTGGTAATGAATTAGTTCTTAGGCTGTATTGTGGTTTCATGATATAAATTTTATTCTTGAGTACTACAACTTATATCTGTGTCATATATTCATTTATATCCTACATAATAAAAGGCTAATATGCAAATTGACCAAACAGTGGAATGACTGGTGGCTATGATGTGCACTGACCACCAGGGGGCAGACACTCAACGCAGGAGCTATCCCCTGGTGGTCAGTGCGCTCCCACAGGGGGAGCACTGCTCAGCCAGAAGCCGTGTTCACGGCTGGCAAGCGCAGTGGTGGTGGCAACGCTAAAGATGTCCAACTGCTGGCTTAGGCCCACTCCCAGGGAGCAGGCCTACACCATCAGTTAGACATTCCCCAAGGGTTCCCGGACTGCGAGAGGGTGCAGGCCAGTTTGAGAGACTGCCCCCACCCCCTGAGTGCACGAATTTCGTGCAATGGGCTTCTAGTATATAAAATATTAAGCTTTAAAAGTAATAAGTGCATAACTGTAAAAAGCATTTACCTTAATTGAAATGAAAGATATATATTTTCGGGAAAACATTAGTTTTAAAAAATACCTAAACCTGAGGTCACAGAAAATATTTCAAATGAAAGTAAATGATCACTCCTTGTGGTACTTAATGATGGAAACCTTTCCACACCAAGGTCACATGAATAGGGTGTCACTGATAAATAGATAGCACTTAGGTGAAAGGGATGGATTTGTTGGTCAGGATTTGGTAGAAACAAACAAAATGCTCTTTCTATAG